GTCGACGTCTTGATGATGCTGTTTCTTCTTTTTTATCTTTTTCCTTAGTTTCTTCTTTATCTTTGGTTTCGTCAGTTTTTTTATCTTCTTCATCCCAACCTCGTCGACGTCTTGATGATGCAGTTTCTTCTTTTTTATCTTTTTCCTTAGTTTCATCTTCATCCTTGGTTTCTTCAGTTTTCGTACTCTCTTCAGTTTTTTTATCTTCTTCATCCCAACCACGTCGACGTCTTGATGCTGCTGTTTCCGCTTTCTTGTCTAAATATAAAAACAGAAGATGATAATAACTGTTGAAAAATTTGTTCAATTAGTATTATTATTGTTCTTTAGAAAACGTATTTATCTATCTAAACATTACTTTCTTAACATTGTATTCGAATAATCTGTGAATAAACTACCTGTAGTTGTTGTTGATGATTTTTTCTTACCTTTTGCATCGGAATTTTTACGTTTTGATTCATCTTCTGATGATTTTCCTTCGCTTGCATTAGATGTCTTTCTTGAAGATTTATCATCATTATCTTTTGATGTTGTCGTTTTAGATTTAGCATCGTCTTTATCTTCAGTATCCCAACCACGTGCACGACGTCCAGTTTTTGCTGGTTCAGGTTTTTTTTTCTTCTTTTTCTAAAACAGAAAAGAATATTTCTTGAACCTTCATCTGATGTTTTTTTAGTACCTGTTGTAGACTCTGATTTCTTTTCCTCATCATCATTTGTATCCCAACCACGACGTCGACGATTTGATGCAGATTTTTCTTTAGATTCTTCACTAACTGACGTTTTCTTCTTTTTAGTTTCTTCTTCTTCTTCGTCTTTAGTTGTTTCTTCGGTTTCATCTGTTTTCTTCTCTTCATCTTCATTTTCATCTTCTAAAATAAAAAGTAAGTAGAAATCAAATTGTTCAGAAAGTTACCTGCAGTTTTTTCTTCATCTTCATCAGCTTTTTCCTTTTCTTCTTCTTCTTCTTCTTCATCATCAGCTTTGGTTTCCTCTAAAAATAAAAACTTACACACATATCATGAATTTCCTAATTGTCATACCAGCTTCTTCTTCATCATCAGCTTTGGTTTCCTCTAAAAATAAAAACTTACACACATATCATGAATTTCCTAATTGTCATACCAGCTTCTTCTTCATCATCAGCTTTGGATTTTTCCTCGTCTTCAGCTTCACCTTCTTCTAAAATATGTAAATAAAAACAAATCTATCAATCAATCAAATCAATTACCTTTAGTAGTTTCATCACCTTCTTCTTTATTTTCGTCCTCATCTTCATCACCTGTTTTTTCTTCTTTTTCACCATCTTCAGTTTCTTCTCCTTCTTCACCTTCTTTCTTTTCAGTTTCGTCTTCATCTTCTTTATTCTCAGTATCTTCTTCATCTTCCTTTTTCTCAGTTTCTTCGTCTTCTTCTTCTTCTTCTTTTTTTGTTTCACCAGTTTTAGTTTTTTCAAGTGCATCGAATTCTTCTTGTGTTATTTGTTTAAGAAATAGTTGTAATTTTTCATGTTCAATAGCTTGTAAGAAATCCAAATAATCACCACAACATTCTTCTTCTTTAAAAATTTGTGGTAACATTATTTTATCATCTTCAGTTTTTTTTCCATTTTCAACAACAAAATCACGTTGTTCTTCATTTTCTGGTGCAGCTACATCAATTGCTTCATATTCAAATTTCCAAGAACTAAGTACATTTAATACATGAATTTGTCGTTTACGTATATCACGACGACCAGTTGTAGAAATATAAAAGACACGAAGTACCATTTTCAGATTTATAAGAATATAATAAAGGCTTTCTCTATTAAAATAGTCGAAATATAAATGTAACAAAGGAAAAACAATTGATCAACAGTCAATCATTGAGAAAAACATCACATTATACGTATTTGTTAGCGTTTGCTTGTGTATTGCTGTAGGACGAATCATAAAGTAAATGGATGGAAAGAAAAGAGAGAAAAAAAGACAAAAAAAGAAGGCAAACACAAGAGATACCAATATTGT